AAAATTTTATTTACAAGTAGGTTGCAGGGAGAGGGAATCAACACATGGATGAAGTAGGCGACAGGAACGCCAAAGGACTATGCTACAAATCGTTACTTGAAGTGGGAAGGCCGGTGGAAGGACCTCCTAAAGATTCATGTGTAGAACATGGACAAACAGTACAGAAACACACTGGGACAATAATTTTACGTAAATGGATTCCATAAAATAAGTAGGGACTAATACCAAACCATATTGTACATTTAAATAGTCTTCTTTTAGACCCTTGTGTCTTATTTAAATCTTTGGAGTGTGTGTTAGATATACAATTTATGCATAGTTGTAACCAAAAATATCTGTAGTACAAGTGAAACGGTGTGAAATTCTGAATTATCTGGAAATGGACATTATTTTTCTGGGAATTCGCATTGGAACTAAGGGAGGTAATTTTAATGGCTACAATCATTAACTCTGTTGGAGCCGTGAAAACCTCTACAAAGTTAAGCAAAGTTTGGGAAGCATAATCAATAAAAGTCAAACGTGTGGGGCAAAGAGAATGTATATGCATACTATTTTAATTATTAGCACTGATTGAATTTAAGAAAGAAGTTGGTGCTTCTGGATGAAGATAAAACGTTTTATAGGACTGAGTTAAACCATGTGCAGAAGATACTGGAATAATTTAGTTTTGGAAACGTTTCCAAAATTAGACTGAATCTGTATAGAGATATAATTTCAAGAGTACAGATTTATGGAATTATTACGATAAAATTTGAAATACAGAACTCGATACGGTAATTCTGCTCTCTGTCTATGCTATTATAGGTCATAGCAACATAAATGCTAAGTATAAAGATAAACACTAAGAAACTTATAGAAGGAATTAAGATACCAAAAACTGAAAGAACATTTTAAAATGCTCCAAAACGCAGACGAATGTATTAACTTGTCAAAAGATAGATATTCTGTCAAACATCTGAAAAAGAATACAACAATTTTGGTAAAAGTTCTGGGTCCAAAATCAAACAATAAAGAGCTGAAAGTTTAAAGTAGGAAACTGAAGAAGGAAGCCAGGGCTACTCCCACCAACGTGATAAAAGATAAGGTTTGAGCACTGGGAATTCACTCCGAAAGATATGAAGCAAAGGAAAACCTAACAAAATATGAAAGATAAAGTAAAAGCAATCATGTCAATTAATCTGGGCAATCTCTCCGGTGAACTAGTGGTTAGAGCATCTGCTTTGGATACGGGAGGTCGTGGGTTCGATCCCCGGTCGAGTCATAGCAAAGAATTAAAGGGTACTAACATCTGCCTCGCTTGACGATCAGCATTAAGAGGTTAGTCTTCGGACGGGTCGGCCTGGTGTCCGGAAAATGTGACTGGGAGGGACATCATGTTACATGTCTGCTGCATGATGCTCTAGAACATGACATCACTATAAACTGCCACACTGCAGATATTGTAGCGATATGACTGAAAAATTGTTAAAGCAACGTTAAAAATAATAAACACAGTACATCACATATCTTAAAAATAAAAATGAGAAACTTGTTCGGTCCTATCAATGAATCTAGACTGCACTCTAATGATAATCTCTTAATGAGGGCTGTACACCTGAAAAAAATTAAGTTAGAGAAGCTGTAAACTATGCAATTGAAAAAAGCAGATTTATAAGTAAAACATATATTAAAAAGAAAGAACAACTATCCGCGTATAAAACATATTATCTTATTTATTTCTTTCAATTTTACAACTTCAAACACGCTTCAAAGCAATCCCGCGGTTCACACTTGATAACAATTCTGACATAAAACAACTGGTTACCTTAGTTGGTGGGATTGTCCTCTAATTCACCTTTCCAGAATAGTGCCGGAGACTGTGTTTTTTAATCAGTGCGTAACTATGGAAACTTAACATCAATGACCTCTTCTACAGCGTCAAGTTGATAGATTGACTATGAAACCAGATTGTCTTATATAATATTATATTTCAGTTATCTAAATTTTGTAGCTTAGATAAATACCATTTGAATAGCACATAAACCCTTCTGCAAAATGAACAAAGTCACTTTTACTTTCTCAGACTAGTTTCTTTTTCGTTACTCATTTTTGAATAATTAAATATATGAGTAGTAAATAGGAATATATACGTTCTTCAGACCGAGACCCAAATTTCATATTTTTAAGTATCGTAGTTTTATTAAATCTAACAAAAATAATTTTTATTATGTTTCTGTTTTGCTTTTTTATTTTTTTTATAAAGATCAAAGCAAGGAAACTCGTGACGACATAGTTTTCAGCATACCCTATACACTCTAGCCTTCGCAGAAGTACCTCAATGAAAGTGTGGTTCAAAAGAAGAAAAACAAATTCACATCCAGGATTAACTGTTCCGATTTATGACTAAACATTTATAGTAGGTATAACGTGTATTGTCCAGTGAATGAATATGTAATCGCTGAATGGACTGTGTGCATTTCGGCTGCAAGGCCTACAAATGATAAGTAATTATGCACGAACTATGCTTGTAAGAGCTGTCCTACTCATACTTGCTGTCACACCGGTGTTACTGGTAGTCAGTTGTTTCTTCGTTTAAGAATCTGTTTTCTAAGGTGGACAATAATAATAGTTTTTAAACCTGATTTTATTAGCATTGAAACAAAAAGCAAAACAAATATCATGGCTTTATCAATTCATTCCGGTTTCGCTGCTATGATAGCCCAAAAAGGAATGTTCTGTATTGTTTTATGAATGTTATGCTAAGTGACAATGGTCATCATTTTGTAAGTCACGATCATTTTGGCATTAGCTTATTTTATGCATGGCAGTTAGAGACTACTGAAAGCTACATAGATGCAAGCTGTGTAATCGGTAATTACATACTAGGTCACGAAGATTTCTGATAAATAAATAAATAATAAGTAACTAAATAAATAAATAGATGAATAAAAAATATATAAATACATAAGTAAAAAAAAAAATAAAATGTTGTCTTTAGATTTTGCCGTGTGTATTTTATACATTGCACTGGGCGTAATTCTTTCCACTCGGGATCTTTTCAACTCATTGACACCCGGTAATGGTCATGAATTTTAGATCATGTATAGAGCTAAAGATTTGTTCGCATTTCCGCATTTAGTCATGCCTAACCAGAGCATAATACAGAATATAACCCCATCCCACCGCACCCCACCCCACCCTTATAGCTTCAAATATTTGAGAAAGTGCTAACAGTTTTCTACTCAATACTGCCGACATAGCGTCTACTCAGCTGAACATTGTTGGTTGCACCAGCGTTTGTGGATTCTTTAGGTTCTATAAACTGCGATTATAAAGACCCAAGGAACAGTTATTTATTCATGAGGATAACAGCGCCATATCACTATCAGAGGCATATACACGAATTCATACACTAACGAAAAGTTGTTGTGGGGTTTTCTGTTCTTTTTTTTTTTGTCTGTTTGTTGGAAAATCTCGGAAATTCAACAGAACAATAATTTACTGAGTGGCACCTCCCACCCCTTAAAAAGAAACAAAAATGTGAATCACAAATGTTCTAATCAGATCAGCTTGGGTATGTCGGCCAAATTGGTGTATCCCTCTGGGCAAGGCACTCTATCCATGTTGAATAATTCCTAAAGAACGCACTTGCATTGCTTTGCAGTAGAACAATAAACCAAACCAAACTGGGTCGGATTCTTGTTCTGAATGATGTATTGTCCTTGAATGTCAATTACTAATGCGAGATAGTTTATAGTAGCAATGTAAAGGCAATGAATGCAAACAGCGAATCAGCTCTTGAAATTATAAATGTCGTAACAATGCATATTCTGTATGGTCTGTCATAGGGTTCAACAGTTGTTGACTGACACGTCTTGTTTTATCTTGGGTCCAAACTATACTTTGACCACATTTAATGTAATTGACAAGATCTGAAAACCAAACTAATATCAACTTTATACATCGATTTGAAAACAGAAAATCTTAAATATAATTACACAATTTAATTATGCGAAAGCATTGCACTGCAATATAAGAAAAAGATAAAGAAATCGAAGTTGTTCGATATGTATTAAAAATTGTCCTCTTTAGAAAGGTTTATCATATACGCTAAATTAAAACTTAAAGCAAACAAATCAAGTTGAATATCGTAGTACGGTTGCATCATTATACTATTATTATTCAGTAGCTGCAGCCTCATTGAGAGTTTTTGTACGGCAATAACACTGATATTTGAGAGATTGTTAGTTTGATTGACTGATTAATTGTTATGTAATTAGACTTTAGTTTGATATAACAAGTATTGGAATTGTGGGCCTCTCTCGAGATCATTCGAGTTAGCTAGATGTTAGCGTTTATGACAGGAAACTAACCTGTAAGTTAATTATTACCTCTGCTCACAAAAAGAGTTATGTCTTTTTTATATTATATGTAGGAATTATATATCTATTTCCCTCACTCTTTCTCAGATACGTGCAAATTAATGTTGACAAGATGATAGAATGTTTATGTTTATCACACTAAATATTTCGAGATGTCTTCATCATTTTCAAGCAATTTAACTTAAATAAGTTGAGGATGTATACAACGTTATTTATCAATCTCAACGCACAGAATACAGATATGTCAAAAATAAAAATATGAAAAACAAAACACAATATATATAATTTAACAAAACTATAGCACTGACGGTTGGTGTAATATAAATGATGTTCTATATTTCCATAAATGAAGTACACTGGTCAAACTGAGAAATTATAATACAAGATGTGTGTGTATTGGTGTGTGTGATTTAGATTTTTCACGAAGATTTAATATTTTTTCATTCATATCGATACGATGTATACACTGTGATAGTTCATAGTAATGTCTAGCACTGGGACATCATACCGCAGATATGTGGGATGATGTCCCATACAGTCATATTATCCTGATAACAGGCCGACCAGTCCTAGCACTAACCTCTTAATGCTAAGCAAAAAGCGAGGCAGCTGCAAGTACCAGTTTTAATGTCTTTGGTATGACTCAGCCGGGGTTCGAACCCACGACCTCTCGCATCCGAGGCGGATGCTTTAATAACTATACCACCTGAGCGGTCTATTACATATATGTACAGAGTTAGTGGATGGGGATAATCTTATAATACATATTTGCAACGTTTATCCTTTTGTATTGTTTTGGCGCTAGTAATGAGAAAGGTACACTTCAATGTTACACTAATCTCACAGCTCACTTTCTAAATCTCTTAAATTATACATTTGACAATTCAAAATACAATGTAACTGTGTTTTGTATAACTGTTTGTTATTGTATAGTGGACGCGAATATATTTTTAACAGTTTTGTGATTCCCATGTAGTATTTTGTGTAAACCTTACTTTAAAAATGCAACAGGAGTATGAATATCTAATACATTTACGGTATATAGGCTGGTGTCGTGGAACTGTTTTGTGATTGAAAACGTATTTAAACAAATTGGAAGGCAAACTAATGTGTAGCGATACCTGATTGACACAACTGCACTTGTAGACAGATTGGTGCTTGGTGCATTTATATTTTGTGTAGTGTTTAACTCAGTAACCCCTGGAAATTACTTTAATTTGTGCCTGAAGTGGGGGTAGGAAACGCATTTTTGGGATTACTTGTTAATGTAAACGAGCACATCTGCTCCAACGAGATTTTCGTTTAGCCACATGTTTAGGTGTATTTTTGTATTTTTGCGTATTGGACCCACGCTTTTCATATCATGGTCACTTTTTACTACATTTATCAATGTTTATTCTTTCAACGCAAATTTTGCGTCCAACACTATAGCCTATCTTTCCTTTAAAGATAGTTACTTGGCAAAATTTAATTACTAAATAGGATACACACTAGTTTACATTTCCACCGAATTAAACAATTTGTCTTCTCGCAAGGCAACGTATGACTAAATAAATCAGACCAAAGTCGGCAAATTTATTTTCCAATACTTCCAAAGTGCACGCCATAATCAAAGCTGACAAATCGGAAATAACGATTCCTATCTTTTGTTCCCGAAGATAATCGTGTCTTTTATCAGACTTTCATAGACTAGAATATGAGAAATACGATGCAGTCAAATTCCAATTAAAGATCAATTATTTAACATGAGGTTATTTAACCGTAATTATGGATGGTGGCTCCAATGTACTTCAACCAAGAGGACGTTACAATTTACAGTTGAATTGTTTCTGAAGGTTAAGAGTATATTATTATGTTTATCAAATGAAAAGGTGTAAGGGGTGTATGATGCAGTTACCATTTTCAATAGTCTTACCTACTCTGACTATAATTGCATTTTAAAGCACACCTTATTCAATTTTCTGATTCAGTACTTCGTTATAATTCCACACATTGCACTTTCATTTGCTAAGTTGGTAGAGAAAAATTGAATAAGGACAATTTATCATTACATTCGCTCTAACGATTAATGATGACTTTCGCAACTATTTAATGTCATTCTTGTTTTGCACTTAATTACAATTATCTTTATTGTCTTAAATTATCAATTAATGTTGAGTTGAATTAGTTGTTTATGAATTGAAAATATATAAAGATAAAATAAAGACCCGACATTTATCATAGCTAAAATGCAATTGAATGTTTACAGAATGCCATATTCTGTACACATATAATCATGGACGGAAATTTGTATTTTTATCATTTTATTCAAACGTATGTGCCATCTATTATTCAATTGGCAACAGAAGCGTACTACAATATATTTGCTCTACTTAAATCATCATTATATTTGATGGCCAACAGGCATGTTTACCTTCTGAATCTTTTGGCAAAAACATTAACTGAAAACCCACATTATATGGAAAGTGAGACCACCATAATCAAACCTCTCATGGGCTATATCGACTCTCTAAACATTATAAGGAGAAACGATGTGTTAACAGAAGTAAACACCATGTGAGTTAAAGTAAATTTAATTTAATTTACCTCAGCATGATTTGATAATTTGAATTTTGAAGAGGTACAAACTGTGTGGCAATATTATGGTTCATAGCAGCTAATAATAAAATCTAAATATAAAAAAGACTGACATGAGTTTGTATATTTTGCACTTGTATTTACCAAGGTATAGTGAACAAAATATAGATTTAAAATATATTTACACGAAATGTATTTGTTAATCTTTCACGTTGTACATGCAATATGATCGACGTACATATTGACAATTTTGAAAGTGACTGGAAGATTTTCAAATAAATGAATGGAACCACATTTCTCTTCTAATTAAAAATTCGTACAATATAAATGTGATTCTTGAGGATTTATTGCCTCATCTGACAGGAGAAACAAATACTCAGCTGAGAGTACGCTTTGTTTTCCTCTTAGATGCGTTGATAAATATGTTTGAAAGGTATTCTTATAAGATTTAGTTAAAAAGCTTGTTTAGAAGTTATCAAATAGACGAACTTCTGGAGAGGACTGTCTCTCAGACCTGGATAGCCCTCTTTTTGTGGTATAATGGTATAAGGGAGGTAATCCTACTTGTCATGTACAGTATTAACCTCACCTCTTGTATCATATTACATATTACGCATTATCTGTTTTCCATTGTCACCGATTAAGCTTCATCTGAATCGTATGTATAAATTTCTCCGCAAAGTTACTGTAAGATTATCAGGTTCGTGTATGTGAGAAAGCTTGCTTATTTCCTGTCGTTTGTTGGTGGGTTTTCTTTTCGGGGTTTCCTTGGATTCTTCCTCCACCATTAATACTTCCCGCTTTGTATTTCCAATCTTCTGTTGTATCCAGGCGTTACACCTTACATCAACAACTACAATAATAAGTGTAGCGTTTGGATAAGTTTTACTCCTACCATTAGAGTGACCACTGGTTTAGATTGGTTTGGGGATATTACACATAAATAATGTTTGATTTATTGCTGATGTTAGGTGATAGGCCATCGCACTGCATATAGTGAGCGGTATCCACCATTATCGTCTCGTTGTGTTCCAGTAGGATTATATCTCCAGACAAACTGCAATAACACCGAGGAAAGCAGTTGTTTTCAAGTACTTTTAAAAAGGGAAGTAGAATTGGTAACCAGACATATAAGCGTACATAAGAAGTGCTCTTGACAAACCATAAGGGTATCATCTGTCGGGAGTTTAACTTTCTCGTTGTAAGTTTAGAAACCATTTCGAATGTTTAGGTAAAAACAGGTATTTACTTAAACTGGCCTCTAAAACTGATTGTTTTCTGTTGAATAATGCCGGCCCTATGTCTGCTTTTAATAATATTTCACTCGCTGTAGATTTCATTTAGTTCTTGTCCTGGGCATTAGTGCGCCATCATTTCCTTTTGTATGTATCAACACTGGACTACTAACTAAATTACTCTTAAACGTTGTATCCTGATGAACTTTATGGATTCACAAATGAGAACCTGGTTAAATAGAAAACATATTACTGTTCTTTTGAAAGCTTGATTACAATTCTGACATTTATATTGATTACGACGAAGACGACGAAGATGTGATAATCTCCACTACTATTTCTACTGCTAGTACATATGCAAATTGGCTGACAAAATCAACAACTGTTTGTTTGGTCAGTAATCAAGATAGCAGTGTAGTAAATACAGCATCAGAAATCATCTTATGATGTTGCTATATTTCATATTTAAAATTAATTTAGAAAACTGTTTCAATAATAATAATAATAATAATAATAATAATAATAATAATAATAATAATAATAATAATAATAATAATAATAATAATAACAATAATGATAATAATAATAATAATAATAATAATAATAATAATAATAATAATAATAATAATAATAATAATAATAATAATAATAATAATATACAAATGCAAAATATTATTGTCGTAGTCCTTAAAAATGCATTGTATTAAATACTTCCTCCTGTAGTCATGATTATAGCACACTCGCGGTAAAACATGCAAATAGAGGTACCACATATGCAAAGACATAACAATGTGTGTGCTAGGCGCTACTCACAACATTACCGAGAACGAAGCGAAGATGATGATGACACAGATGATGTTGATAATGTGGATGTTATAACATTTGATAACTGAATTGACACTGACCAACGAAAATTTGAAATGTTTTCATAAATCCCATTAACGATTTCATCATACCTCATATCAGAAAGATGACTGTCATTTATTAATATGCACCTTTAGTTTACTAGACCTGATACATAATGTCCAGCTTTAATATTTCACCAACGCTTAAGCGACGGTAATTTTGTGGAATATGTTAAACGTGTGTTTCCGATGATCATTCAATAACATCGCAAAGTCAATCTTGGTAAAGTATCCGTTCTGGCTAAACGACATAATGAAGTTATTATTTAATTAACAGAATATTGTTTTGAAAAGATCTACTGACAGTATTTCCTTGTTCTGTTTCACTAGCCTCTGTACTTAGCCCACCTACCATCCGTCGACTCAGGTCACTTCCGGCGCTGACGCCTTCATTGGTCTATTGTCAGAGTAAGCTCTGTGTAATGTGGATTCATTAATAAAAATCAAAATGTATTACACCAAGGAAGAATTGTGTGTGAGATTAACTCCCTTTACCATCATGCATATCATAATATTTTTCAAAGAATGGAATGGATTCTTCGTGGTGTAAGGAGATATCAGTCCCTACCCGATACTCATCTCAGCTCTCAAAACTTCCTCCATTCCAGTGACTTATATCTGCCTAATATGTATGTATATACAGTGTGGGCAGGGTAAAAGTAATGCCATGAAACATCGGAACCAAATTAATTCTTATTAGCAGAAATAATTATGAAAGCGCATTTGGAGCATATCTGAGATGTGTAAATATAAGTGTAATTATAGCAATACATATAACATAATGACATGTTGTATGCTATATCACATGCTTGATGTTTATTTAAGGAATATACTTGAAGAGTACTTGATCATTATGACTTGTATACATCAATCAAACTATTCTCAAAAATGTAAATAGGGAAAATTCAGCAGGGGAATAAAAATTTATTTGCTATAAGCTTGTGCTTTTATGCCATATCCACATTTGTTCACTTGTGTGTTTTGTTCGAATTTTTGCTT